CAACCTTTTAGACTTTGTAGATGCCAGGAACAAAGCTTAGTGTTTGGCTCAGCTAATAGAGGGACAAATATAGAGAGGAATGCATGTGTGGTGTGAACACGTGGTAGTCCTGTAGTGGGACTAAAATCCTACTTGTTGCTTTTACAAGCAAAACTAGTGTTTGAGCTTAAATGTTAGAAACACACTTGAGGGTCCAAGGTTGTGTCACAATCTTCTGGAAGGGGGCTGGGGCTGTCTATGGAGAAGACATCCAATATGTGTTAAGCTTACGCTTTCTTAACCTGTACCTTATTTAAGTAGTGCTTCCCATAATAGTGAAGGCTATATAAAATTCAAAGTGGTATCATCCTCTCTGGCTGGCCTAGATCTCAAGGCTCTGTAGGGTACTTATTCTCCAACGTCCAACAATCCCTTTTTATTCTTAATTTTCAGCCACGGTATGTCAATTTTATTTTCTAAAAATTGCCTTGACAAGTAACTCACCATCCTAGACTAAATCTTGTTTCTAACCTCATAACATCTGTCAGTATGTCATGTGTTTGTGTAATTGATTTGTGAAATAACCAGTTTAGTAAATACCATTTTTTGTCAGAAATTTAAATTAGGGCCTGTAAATGCCAACCACAGGACGGGGGTGCTCAGGCTGTTAGTCTAAAACTCATTCAAGGTTGGCATGAGAGTTGTAAATTGCAATAATCTGATCTTGAACAAATTTTGAAGTTCATAATTTTTCTTGTCTTGTCTTGTTTGCATATCTATAGATTAGTCACAATGTATGAGTAATTTCATTCAGTCTTCAAGCTCCACTTGCAGAGTACACAAACCAAGTTTGAAAACTTATAATTCATTCATAATAGCAAGCTGAGCTTTAACAACATGAGGTTCATCTGAAGAAGGCTCGTTTACACCCAAGATTGCAACATCTTAGTATCTGTCATTGTGATAAATAATTCTGTCATCTATGTTGTAGAATCAAGCCTTGCAGCGTCTCAAGGATGAAAGAGATGCAGCTGTGCAGCAAACAAAACAGCTACAGAAGGAATTGGTTAGTGTATTTCTGCACTTCCCCTCCGACTTTGGTTTGTTTCTATCATCCTATGTTGTTTTGCACAAAAGCCTTCATTTGGCAAACTTTATAAATCAATTTATAAAGAGTCAAATTAATTTATAAATGGTCAAATTTCATTTTCAGGCACACATTCCAATGGTCCCACAAGTATTATCCACCACTCATTTCTATCCATTATAAATGAAACCGTTATAATTTTTTTCCAAATGGAGGCTTAAATATAGAACAAAGCTTTGAATGCACAAAAATGGAAGTGAAACTTTGTTTTGTGGGCTTGTTACTTGAGATGCTCATAGTTATATCATCCAAACTATTATATACGGATGCATCTGTCAAAGTTCGTACACCCTGTTCGAAAGTTTAATATGAGACTTGTTTTGCGCATTCTCTGTTTCTTCTTTCTTTTTGCTTTTGCTTGAGAGGTGGGATGGTGGTGCCAAGATTATTAAAGTTGGATTCATGAAGTAGCGGAAATAACCTCTCTCACTCTCTCTCTCTCTCAATTAGAGATGGAAACTTCTTGATGATACCAATTTGATGTAGGGTGAATAATAACAAGAAGAGAAGGGGGAAGAGGGGAGAAGAAGGAGACAGAGGCGGGGGAAGAGAGGAAAAAACGGTTGCAAGCCAACTCTTTTATTTAATCAAATTCATCAACTGAAAATTAACAATGTAAAATAGGTTTAAATACTAGAAAATACTGCAAACCTTGGGCCAAGCCCAATACACAAGTCCATAAAATTAAATAACCTAAATCCAACTAGAATAATTAAAACTGCTAAAATAATTAAGACTGGATGTCCTCATCAATTTGTCTTTGATGCATTTGGACTAGAGTACTTTGAGGGATTGAGGGTCTGATGTACATCAGCTTCAACGTGAATTTTCACTCTAGTTACCTATATTTCGTTACCATTGATCATCACATCTTCATTACCCTTTTAGAATTTAGGCATCACCCTTCTAGAATGATTTCCACCATTTCTGTTTTTCATTTGTAGGAAATTCTTAAAAATCAAAGAAGTCGAAAGAGTGATCGAGGTGCCTCAATTAGATTTGCACTTTTTGTTGGGCTCATTGGAATCGTAGCTGGCTGGCTTTTGAACTTATGGTCATCCTCACCTTCTATGGATTAAGTTGGTTCTCATCGCAGTTGCTGGAAACAGTTTTTTGGGGAAAAAGGAAAACATTATTGAAGTAACTGTTAAGTGAAAATCTGGGTCACATATGTATTTTTCTTTTAATTTTGTGTAAATTAGAGTTTAGAGAAATGTTCGTTGATTAGTTGGTTCCTTCAATGTTTTTCTGCCATCAAGCTCTCAAAGACAATAGTTGGCTTTGCTCTTTGCTGCTTTCCTTCTATTTTAAACGAGTAGTGCTAGGGATTTTCCTAATGTGTAATGTCGTAATAAATAGTAAGATCAAGTAATAGGGGTATCATATCCCCATATTAATTGATCTCATAATTTCACTAAACATCACTTTGAGATGATCCCAATGGGACAAATAGCATTATTCTTGAAAATATATACCACATGATATGTGGACTAATATTATTCAAACAATGCTATATAGCAATCATTTTTCATAAGACAATTGTCAAGAAAATCATTTTTTAAAAGACACTTTAAAGAAACCATCGGGCTTCGTTTCATCACGTTACACAGGTGCATGTGAAATGCTAATTTCTTGTTATGTCAATCCATATAAAAAGATAGTTCACAGAAGTATACACAATGACAAGTCAGTGAGTTTTTCATACACGTGCAAGAAATGAATGTGTCGCTGTTGCCATCTTTATAGCTTCAGTGATAAAGAACGAAGGCTAGGAGGTTAGATCTTTACATGTGTGCCACGTCTCACGTGTAGACATTCTTTCTAGAATTGCCATATTTTTGTCCCATGTTCATGACAAGTTTCAAAGGGTCATTTAAGGTAGTGAAATCAAGTTCTTTGTACAATTATGAAGGTTTCCTTTTCATGGAGCACTTCGACATGTTACAGAATACAGAAATAGTCAATTGTAGTGAAAGCTATATTTCTCTTAAGTTGGTCGCTCAAATCGTTCTTTTCAAAAATTGTACATCCACGATGCCACTTGGTCTTACCTTCAAAAAATGCTAAAAATAAAATACCTGCAAAGTTCCAGCTATTAGAATTATTTCACTCCTAAATTCACAGTGGTGGCGGGAAACTAAACAATAAAGAGGGAAAAATCTTTGCTTATTGCCGTCGCTCATGTCAATACATCAGTCTAATGATAAGCAATCCATTTATAACACTTACACCATAGGTGACCAAATGTTCCGAATATCAAACGTCATATAATGTCTTTTAGCGAAGTATTATAGATATTTATTTAAATAATTTAAGTGTCTATGCATAGGCTCTTGATTCCTTTACTCCAGCACTAGATCCAAATTACCAATTAGGTGGAAAAAAAATGGTGGCATCTCATATAAAAATAAAATAGTAGTACTATATTTCAAAAAGAGCAAAGGCTCCTAAGTTGGGCTGTGGGGTTTGTTCAAGCATGTAACCGATAGTATAGGTGATATACTCTCCTGAATATGGTTACTATGGTATGGTGGGAGTGATCGAGTTAACAAGTGGTTTACTACTGGTGTCATGGTGGGGGAGAAATGTGGTTGCTGGTGTATGTTGGAAAGTAAAGAGAAGTGGGAGTGGGAGTGGGAGTGGGAGTGGAAGTGGAAGTGGAAGTTGAAAGGGAGATAGCTCCTACTTTTATCATACGAGGACAAAAAGGTGGGAGACAATGCGCATCGATCAGGTAGGGCGAGGATGATTGATTGATAGTGCTCGAATGTGGACGATTTTTAAACTAAATATAGATGTAGTTGTGTGGAATAACTATGATAGGTGATATACTCTCCTGAATATGGTTACTATGGTATGGTGGGAGTGATCGAGTTAACAAGTGGTTTACTACTGGTGTCATGGTGGGGGAGAAATGTGGTTGCTGGTGTATGTTGGAAAGTAAAGAGAAGTGGGAGTGGGAGTGGGAGTGGGAGTGGGAGTGGAAGTGGAAGTGGAAGTTGAAAGGGAGATAGCTCCTACTTTTATCATATAAGGACAAAAAGGTGGGAGACAATGCGCATCGATCAGGTAGGGCGAGGATGATTGATTGATAGTGCTCGAATGTGGACGATTTTTAAACTAAATATAGATGTAGTTGTGTGGAATAACTATATTGAATTTGGAGCTATGACAAAGGATCACAGGGGAAGGTGGTTGCAGCCATGGTTCACATTTGGCAAGGGGCTTCGCTCCTCTCTTCTAGTCACCGAGGCCATGGCTCCATGCAAGTCTCTTTAACATAATAGCATTCAGGCTATGTTGTTGGTGGAGTGTAATGCAAAGCAATTAGTCCATGATGTGTACTTTGAATTTTCACTTGCATCGTAGGGTCTAGTTTGCTAAACTTTGTGACCTCTATGAATAAAATTTAGTGTGAATCATATCATTTTACTCCTTGCAAAGAGAATAATGTAGCACACTATATCTTTAGTTTAGTAATGGTTCGTACAAATTAGGTTGATTGTGTTCCAAACCATTGCCCACCAATTCCTCCTATTTGTTATAGGCTACTTGAATTGATGGAATACTTCGGTTTTCGCCAAAAAAGAAAACAAAAAAATAAAAAAAAAGGGGGAGAAAGAGAAGGGCTACAATTTCTTTAACCTCATATTAGGAGGAAATGGTGGCAGATAGCCAAGAAAAACAGACAATTTTTCAAAATAGCCGTTGACTACTGTTTTAAAAAAAATTGAAAAAATTGTAAAAACCTTAAAAACAATGAAAACCGAATATTGCCCCTAACAAATTACTCTCAAACCGACGTCTGGAGAAAGAAGAAGCAGAAATAGCAAGGAAATCGATGACTTTTTCTTGGAAAGAGACCGATCGGCCACTATTAGAGGCGAAGAAAGTAAGTTTTTCTTATTTTTCCCCAATTAATTTTTGAACCTGGATGTTGAAGGTTTATTTTGTTGGAAATAGTGATAGAAATCTTTGTAAATTATGTAAAATTACTAGAAATTACATTTTTTGAGGGTTTTTTGGCCGGAGATCGTCGGAAATGGCGATCTTCGGCACTGACTAGAGAAGAAGACGGCCCAACCGTTTGTTAAACAAACGGCACAAGCCGTCATTAGCAGACGGCCTGGGCCGTCTATCACCTGGGTCTTCTGTTTTATTTTTTTTATTTTTTTCCGTATGAATTAAATAATTGAAATACACAACGATAAATTATTATTTAAATAATTATTTAATTATTACTTAAATAATAATAATTTAATTATTATTTAAATGATAAATGAAAATTGTAAATAATGAATCAATGTTAATAATCAAAATACGTAATTAAAATTTAATTGAAACAAATTTCTAACATTTGAAATAGATAATTAAATATTTACATTTGCTTGTTCAATAAATAATTTAAATAATCAATTAATATAAGTATTTAAATCAAATAATTTAAATGAACAATTGAAACAAATAAATGAAAAACAATTGGAATAAATAATTAATTGAAATGCACAAAAATAAATAATGAACATTTAAATAATAATTAAATGATTATTTAAATGATAAATGAATAAATGTTAATAATCAAAATACGTAATTAAAATTTAATTGAAACAAATTTCTAACATTTGAAATAGATAATTAAATATTTACATTTGCTTGTTCAATAAATAATTTAAATAATCAATTAATATAAGTATTTAAATCAAATAATTTAAATGAACAATTGAAACAAATAAATGAAAAATAATTGGAATAAATAATTAATTGAAACACATAAAAATAAATAATGAACATTTAAATAATAATTAAATGATTATTTAAATGATAAATGAATTAATAATCAAAATATTAATTAAAGATTAATTGGAATAAATTTCTAACATTTTAAATAATTAATTAAATATTGACGTTTAGTTGTTCAATAAATAATTTAAATAATCAATCAATATAAGTAATTAAATCAAATAATTTAAATGAACAATTGAAACAAATAAATGAAAAATAATTGGAATAAATAATTAATTGAAACACATAAAAATAAATAATGAACATTTAAATAATAATTAAATGATTATTTAAATGATAAATGAACAAATGTTAATAATCAAAATATTAATTAAAGTTTAATTGAAATAAATAATTAAATATTTACGTTCGCTTGTTCAATAAATAATTTAAATAATCGATCAATATAAGTGATTAAATCAAATAATTTAAATGAACAATTGAAACAAATAAATGAAAAACAATTGGATAAAAATAATCAAAGTAAGTAATTAAAATATAGATAAACAATTGAAATAAATATCTAACATTTAAAATAAATAATTAAATATTCAATTAATAATTAAAATAAATATTGAATAAACAATTAAAGAAAAATATAACAAATAATTACATATTTATGTTTAAATGTTCAATAAGTAACTTTAAAAAATAATTAAATATACAATTAAAATAAATCATTGAAATTAAGCATTCAATAAACAATTAAAATAAATGTTAAATAAACAAATAAACAATTGAAATAAATAATTTAGATAAACAATTGAAATAAATAATGAACATTTAAATAAAAATAAACAATTTCAATAACTAAGAAATATAAATTTTCATAATAATTTATTTAAATATGTAATTAAATATAAATAATCAAATTTAATTAAATAAAGAATTTAAATAAATTTCTAACATTGATTAAAATAAACTATGAAATAAATAATTTTACAAAAATTAGTTTTTCACTTTTTATAAGTTGTTGTCTAATTTTTAATTCATTTTCTTTATTATCTGTTATTTCGTATGTATATTACTTACAGTTCAGTTAGTTGAATTTTGTGACATTATGTTTCAAATGTTCTAACATTTGAAATTTTGCAGGATAGATTACCATTTGGACACATGATAAGAGTGTAAAATACCATATTTTTCGCTCTTAACTATTGCATTCATGTGATTATATTATGTCAAAATGCACTCATTACTCTTATATTTTGGTTTAGGTTGCATTTTGGTGAAAAAGATAAAATTCGGAAGAAACAAGTAAAAAATGACCAAAGTAGAAGAGAACGAAAGTTCGAGGACTAAAGTGCAAATGATCCAAACTTGTGTCCAAGATTATGATGAAGATTCAAAAGTGTTAGAGGTCAAGTGGATAAGGAAAGAAGTCAAAGGGACGAAATAACGTCAAAGTTTGATCAATACATCAATTTCCAATCGAAACTAACACACCAGTTTTTAGTCTCATGTTGGGACCCATTTTTGACATTGAAGATGATCGAATTGGGAGATGACTTCTGAATAAAAATTGTGGCCCTTTGAGTTAGCTATCCAATGCAACTTGAATCACCTCAATTAGACATTAGGAAAGAAAGTTATGATTAAAACACTGAAAGCTGTCTGGCGGAACCATGCGGCCGCATGCCTTTCTACTATGCGGTCGCATACACCTGTACCGAGAATTGAAGAGGCTGAAAGTGCATGACCATGCGACCGCAATGACAATGACCATGCGGTCGCATAGTGTTTTTTGGGCTGCCGAATCTCAGTTTCCTTATACGATTGAATCTTTTATGGTAACCTAATTTTCACGGGATATAAATGCCCAAAACCACCCAGAACGAAGGGAGACGCCCCCAGACCTATTTCTTTCATCTTGGTGCTCAAGAAACTCCATGGAAAACTAAGGAACTTGGTGAAGCAACGAAGGAACTCATTGGATTTGGAGATTTCACGTCATAATTTCATGTGATTCGAACTCTCTTTGCTTAATAATTTCTAGATTTGGATCTTCTTATTATGAATTAGTATTGAAATTTGTTTAACTTTTAATAAATTTCTCATGGATTCAGTCATACTTTTTCCATTGTTAAATTAAACTATTTGTTGAGTTTCAATTTAAATTACTTATTGTTGAGATTATTTTAACTTTTATCAAATGCTTCATAGATCTAGTCATGCTCTTTCTATCGAATGATTGAAATAATTGTTGAATTTTAATCTTAATATCACTTTATTGGCGGATTGATTAATGCCTTATGCCTGACGTATATGGTCGATTTTTGATCTTGTTCCAATAAAAATGTGCGAATGTGTTATAGAAAATCTAGATTCTAGAAATATAATTGGAATAAAATTGGACTTCACTGTTAAATCTTCCAATTAGAGAGTTGGGAAGAAAACCTCTAATTGAGTAAAAATACATGAATTATTGATGTGGATTGATCCAATCCAATGGGGGAACTCCGACGCTTCACTAATTCGCATATTGATAATTAATTTTTATTCCAAGTGACAAATCATTCCCACATTTAATTACGAAAAAAACCCTAGTTTGTTTGATCTTTTGAGAAAATTTCCATCTCCCTGTGGATACGACACCCCAAAGCTGTACTACAATAACCGCGTTATTCTTTAGGCGTAATCAACACAGCCTTAAGACAGGTTCCTGGCAAAATTACGTCGAACTGTAACTTTGCCAGTTTCACAACAGTGTTGAATTCATTGGACGAGGAGCACACAGAGATATTATGTCGATCCTGCCTATGGCCCCTGTATTCGCTGCGGTCTGTGCAGTTCTCTGGACAGTCGATCGATTCATTACTATGTCGGTTGCTTAAACCAATTGACGGAGATGCCCTCCACTTTGATCGTGGGGGCAAGGTTGCTACATTTTCCATATTCGAGTTTGCCCTCATCACTGGATTGTGATGTACGGGCGAAGAGGCAACGAGAGCCAGTATTTCGACAGACAAGAGACTGCTGAATGATTATTTTAATGGGCACACGACAGTGACACTTGCGCAGTTAGGAGGTGCATTCAGGGGATGCTACCAGATGTCCAACAAGTTGAAGTTGGAGATGGTGTTTATACTCGGAGCGTACTGAGGTGTCATCACAGGAAGACGTCGATTGACATTTTTCATTTACAAGTTTTTGATGACATCGATACGTTCAACAACTATTAGTGGGGACAGAGATGCTTTGTCGATACTTTACGCGTCTTCAGGAAGGGGCATTCGATGCCTAGGGGAGATAGGTCGAAGCGTAAGGACGATATATATAGCATGCCATTAGCTTTGCACATAAATGTTTAACATAATGAGTTATCTATTTTTTATTAAATTGTACATATAATAATCGTAATTGTTGTAGATATGGGTCTACGAGACTGTCCCCATCCTGGCTGGTCGGTATGCGAGGAGAGGGGATACATGCATCTCTCGGATGCACCGCTGGCGAGCACAAGACAAGCTCCTTGCAAAATAGTTATCAGCTATCTTCGACAATCCTGAGGTACGTATTATATATTTGCGTTTTCTGTTGTATGTCATTTTCGAAATCTCGATACCTAGTCAATTCGATGAAATGTCAATATATCAGCTTGAAGTCCTCATTGAGCTGACACCATCGATCGAGGAGGAGGATCATACTTATATCTGTGAATTGTTGACAGATCATGCTGCTCGAGAGAGGCCCGAGTCCATCGTCGATCGGGACACGGTATATTAATTGAATATAATATGTTAGTTATTGTTATAATTTTTTAATTAAGTTATTCATTTGTAATGTTTATTTTTTTAGGAGCGCCGTCGATTATCACCTCCGTCGAGGGTGTCACATTCTCGGAGGATGTCGCCTCCGTCGAGGGTGTCACCTCCCTATATGAGATCATCGTCTCCTGCGTTCGGACACCTCCCACGTGGATCAGTTGCACGTAATCAGAGTGCTTCCATCGATAATATGTTCCGACTTATGATGGAGATCAGAGGTGACGTAGCTGACTTACGAGGTGAAGTAGTTGACTTATGACGTGATGTCGGGATAGTATAGGTCGATTTAGAAGACCTTTATGCTGAGATTGTAACGATATAGGGTGACATAGTAGGCCT